CAAACGAGGTGATCGCCCTATGAAATTCTCAGTTTCCTTCATCCATTTAAATATTTGTTCAAAAATGTCCCAGTGTGTGTTTCGCGCCAGCTCACTCAAAGAACGTTCTATGAAAGACTTTTTTGTATTTCTACAGATCAGACCGCTATAACCTTGTGAAAGAGAGCAAGAATGATTTACTTGCGTTGAAGTCTTTTTTCCCCAACATGCATAAGGGATTCATTTACAACTTGACCTTTGGAGAATAGTTTTTGCCGTTAACAAGTCTCTTCTTGGGATACGCCGCGCACTCTACATTTTCCTCTGGAAGTCATGGTGGACATTTTGAAGGCGGCGCTAAATGGTGTCATTCCGAATGACCCTGAGCTCAATAGATTCGATATTCAAACTCCGGGCTGTGTTCGCAGTGTCGCTACTGGTCGCTACAACACCTCCATTCTGGACTTATTGGTGGTAAGTACAGTACAACGTAATGACATCTCCTTGCACTAACGAGCGCTCGTACTCTCCTCGATGTGAGCGAATGTGTAGCCCATGCCGAAGACGTTGCTCAAACCAACGAGAAACACTTTTGAAGCTCAAGTTTTTTATGGATTGCTTTGGTCCAGCGCTAAGCTTCTACAGACGCCGTACCTAGGCAATTTTTAGGAAGAAGTAAGCAAGGAAACAGATTGTCGATGATGACGTCGCAGAACATATAACTTTCTTCGTAAATTCCTTCAGATTTCGTCCTTCTCTTGATAAGGATAACTCTGGACATGATTTTCACAAGCGGGCAGTTAAAGAGACTAGCTGGATCGTAAAATCCTCAGTGCGACTGCATACACTATAAGGTGATACAACAACGAAATTAAAGGGTTTTCATTATTAGTGACATGAAAATAAGTGTGGAAGGCTAATTCCAGAAGTATGGCGTCGCTTTTCGGAAAGCCGATTTGTAGCGAACATACACGGTCTGCCCAACGTGGATATAACCCTGAAATGAAATAGTTCCATTAGGAGTGTGAAAGACGAAAGAGGAACGTACTGGAGTGATGATTCCAGCATCGACGCCAAACATCGGACTTTCCTTTTTTTCGTCGCGAAGAGGTCCCTCTGGGGCCAGTCGGAACCTGAAGGAACGATGACATTGTCGTCCTAGGATGAATGCCGCAGCTGCAACTTACGAGCGGAGGGTTTTGAGAGGCTCCACAGAAGGATCCATGGTTCCTTTTGTTGGGTGTATCGTAGTCATGACACACCTACAAAATTTTCCTTTTTGGCAGGGACCTTTATTAAGGCTCTTCTATTTTTGAATTGTGGCAGCGAAGCCTTCCATCGTATGACGAACGAGGAATAGTACCTTGACCGTTTATTACGAATCAGGGTGGGCTTACTCACACGCGAAATAAAGAAGGTAGACGAGGCCTGAGCTGTGTTGGAAGAATCATAACTGTACGTCGGTAATGATCAGCGGAAGAGCGGAAACTGGCTTAAGCCTCTGCCACTGGTGTCTGGACTGCACCAAAAAACCCGGCGCACCAGAGGAATACGAAGGATTGGCCCCGCCACACGATCAGCATGGACTTGCATGACTCGAAAGAAGCTGAGCAAAAGGCAGCCTTATAGTCGCTACAGACAAGTCATTGTTAATTGAGGCTAGTTCATTAGGCTGCGTTTATACTTTGCGGCAGCGTAGCGTAGCGCTTCCAGCGTACGCCAGCGGCAGTGCCGAAGAGAGGATGCATATCGATCTAGCTTCACCAGCGTCACCAGCGGCACGCTAGCGCACGCTGGCGTAGCGAGGGCACGGAGGATGGCATAGCTATCGATCTAGCTTCACCAGCGTTTCTCTGAGGGTTTTCTTCAGGGCACTAGCCCCCCGTTTTGCTAGCGCCCTTGCAGGCGGCCACGGCAGTAGAGACTATGTTCGAGAGCACGCGGAATCGACGATGTCATTGAGAGACCGTCACGTGCTATTCGTAGAGACTATGTGGCCGTCGGAACGCAGAAGCGATGTGCATTGTAGAGACTAAGGGCGAGTGAGAGACGCGCAATCGATGTGTTTTGTACCCTCCAGCTCTCCCATAGTCTCTACTCCCTGCCGCTGCAAACGCTAGCAAAACGCTGGTGAAACGCTGGAGAAACGCTGGAGAAACGCTGGCGTACGCTAGCGTACGCTAGCGTGCCGCTGGTGACGCTGGTGAAGCTAGATCGATATGCATCCTCTCTTCGGCACTGCCGCTGGCGTACGCTGGAAGCGCTACGCTACGCTGCTACGCTACGCTACGCTGCCGCAAAGTATAAACGCAGCCTAAAAACTGCGCATGGAGTCCGCGTTCTATGTAGCGGTAGCGCGACATCACCCGCGGACGCCGCTTTCGCCGCATTGACGCGACTTTGCCGGGGGGAGCAACCATCTGTCACTACTTTGATGTTTTTTCTAGGCGGTTTCCCTGACCAATCCACCCAAAAATGTTGTTTGTCCCTTCCGCTTCAAAAGTGCAAAGATTATCGTAGAACTCACCGGAAGCACGGTTGTAAACACTGCAATGCCGCGTCTCCAATGTGAACACTGAGCCACTTGTCTTCGTCCCAAGCGGCCTTATCCACAAGAATCACCGTCGAAAACGCTCGATTGCCGCTGAACCTTTAGAACCATTCTTACGATCACAGTGCATTTACTGTTCAGAAAGCAAAAAAAACTGGATCATCCTGAATCGTAGGCCCAGTGACTGAGACCTTAATCACAGTCGTCTTCTAGTTGAGGCTGTCCAAACGAAGTCTGGCGACATGATCATGATATGGTGCATCGTCAGGGACGCAATCTAAGCAAATTTCCTTTATGATTACTTATACAGTATTCATTGTTTTACAAGCTATCTGTGCAAAAAGGTTCCGAAAAATGGGGTCCTAGAGGTGAAGACAGAATAAAATCCGACTCTAAGCAAATCATTTCATCACCTAACCAAAGCAAACTTAATGATTCGTTTGATGGCGAATTCTCTCTATCCGTTGGGGAGTTACCCATAAATGCATGGAGACATTGCCCAAGTAACCCCTCGTATAACGTGAGAAGAGGGTGACGTCAACTTTATCCAATTTATCATTCCACTTTATCACGGACTCGGCATCGACTTGGCGTGACTCACCGGCCCTTCTCGCGTGGACATCTGATATTCCAAAGACGTTTTCGCTATTCGTATTCACGATCCCCGCTTCTGAGTGTAGAGAACCTTACATAACATCTAAGTCAGTCTAAAGTTGGTTATAATTATCTGATATGACACTCATTGAAACTCAGCGTTTTACCGGGCTCCTGAATAACATCGCTAAGGAATGCGGCCACATCATCCCCACAATCCAGTCCATCGCTTCTCTCGTTGCGAAACAACCTTAATTAAGGAATACGTGGTCCAGAGGCTATAAGAAAGAAAATTATACGCTGTGGAGTCTTTCAAGACGTTCATCTCCTCTTTTTCTGATTAGTGCAGAGTCTTCCCGAATGTCCAAGCCACGTCAGAGTCCACTGTGTATAAACGCAATGCGACCATGATACTTAAGTGGCTCCACCTAGACGCAAGTGACCCCGCCCCACGTTGGTACTTGTTGTCTCGCTCGTTCACATTCTTGCTCGCTACGGACGCTAGGGCGTGTCAGTTGGAGGGAGGGAACTGGTGCCGCGCGGCATCAGCTAATTTTCCACAAATTATGTTCCCCTAAAAGCTTCTACATTTGGTGAAGAATGGGTTGGCACCACGCCAAACCCATTCTTCACCAAAGTCAAACAGGAAAAACGGAAGAAGCCCTATATAGGAACCTGGTTCTTGCACTTGATTTCGGATTAGAGGACGAATTAGGAATTCGAAATTACCTACACTATTGCTCAGCGCGTCAGCCTCCGCACTGAGCAATAGTGTAGGTATCTCGTTGTTTGGTTTGGTCTGTTTCCAACGAATTTCGTCCTCTGATCCAAAATCAACTGCCCTCCGTTTTTCCTGTAAATTGAGGTGAATAGTATATACAAGTTGTATTTTCACCCCCTCCCCCCTGCGAAAGTATCCATAGTAGCGAGAATAATAACCGACACTCTGGCTTTCAAGAAACCACTGTTCCCGACCATTTGTCGTACTGAACATGGTAATAAAGATAAAAATACATCAAGGTAGGTGAATAACCTCGAACGAAGTAACCACCAGTCGCACGCATACTCTGAAAGTTCACACTGCCATAATTTGGGGAGCAGTTCGTACCTTGCAGTTTTAACTTCGTTTCGTTTTGACAACTTCATCGAGTTTCACTCTCACAGAACGTCCATCCACGTGGGTCATAGTGAGAACTCCGTCGTGAACTTCACAGTCGATCAGCACCATATATGGCTTTTGCCTCCCGGTATAGAACCTAAACAGTTGGACGTTCTCCGGACTTTTTGACCAGCAATTAGACATGAATTGAGCCAAAAATCTTAGTCTCCACAGAACGATCTTTCCAGTACCACGCGCGTTAGGACGTAGCATACATCCGCCCAGTTCCATTCAGGATACTATCAAGGCTCAAGGGCACATTTGGCTTCCAGTTTGAGTTTCCAAGCTAACCTATGAGTGACTGCTCTGATCAGTCACTGTTGAGGAAGTTGTGTGTCCACCACATTGTTTCTTTGACGCTGCTTATCCACCATTGCATTCTGGATTCGCCAGGCCAAAGCATTGCCGTAACTCACCATTCCTTTCAAGGTGTACTCGACGGGTAAGTAAAGCGTAACTGCGCACGTGGTGCACGTCGCGACGGCCTGGAGAAATTAAAGCTGTGCACGTTCCCGCCTGCGGTGAGGCGGCGAAAGGCGCATTCACTACGCGCCAGGAGCCAGAGCTCGCGCAGGTGGAAACGCGTCCAGTGCCGCAGCCGCACGCGCTCTCCTAATACGCGCATTTGTTACGACTGGACGTGGCGCGCACCGATAATCGTTGAAGCAGCTGTCAACTACAAATTGATACATCAAACACGAAACTACCTGGGAACCTTGGCTTGCGGTCTAACAACTAGCGAATGAATTGGTTAGCAATACGCGAATGGATATTTTCAGCGCGAAGTATAAACGCTGTCAAAGAGACTTCTTAAATGGTATGACGAGCGCTGCATTTGCACAAGGGACTAACTCGTTCAGCATGGCCGTAGGACAGTGTACCCTGTCAGCAGAAAAAAACCGTGTAATACACGCTACAGGCACCCCCCCCCCCAACAAGCAGACAGCGCGATTCCAGTGATACCGACTTTCTCAAGTTAAAGTTGAGCGCGATTTTGTTCAGAAAAACAAGAACGGTTCCTTTTATCGGCAGGCTCCATAAATTATTACAAGGTCACTATTACTAGCAAGCTGTGTAATTACGATCTGCCGCCTCACCCCACTAACACCTCCGTACCAAGAGTTTGGATACTAACAGCCAGGAAGATGTTCCCAGGTGTGCCACCTAGTCAAACAGTGCCAAAGTGGTCGTCATGTTTCCAAGCTACACCAATCAAGCTTGAAAAAAATAAGACTTTGTGACAAACCCTTTTTGAGATGCGCCAAGGATTCTACTCCTACTCCTATATCGTAGTAGCATTTTCAATGTGATTAAGTCTATCCAATGACTGGGAGGCTCAGCCGAAGTCGGTGTTATCCCAGACGGCATTTGATCACTCAGAAATGAAGGGTTGGTTGGCAGTGCTCGAAGCCGGTCCAAGATATGACCACTGGGCTGTAGCATGGTGACCGGGCACATTGTAAGCTGGGGATCCCCTGCAGTGAGTCGTTTTATCCTGAGGAAAAATTATGATGGTTGACTGTTCTTGTTTCAGGCGCGTTAACCACATCGCTGAGGAACACCCATCAGAGGAGGATCGTTCTTTGAGAAAGCTCCTACTAGGCCTTACAGCCAAAGCAAAAAATTTGGAGTTTGGTGGTTCCTTCGTGGCGATCTTCCCTCCACCTCCCTTTCCGTTTCGCGGCGAAATTTCGGGGGAAACTGAAAATTATTCTAGAAGAAAGGGTGGTATGAGATTGGAAAAGTCAGTACGATGATGAGACGGAAAGGGTGTCACACCAAAGGAACGGACCGGGGGAATCATATTTTGCAAGGATTTTCTTCAACGACAAGACGTGTCCTAATGGTAAGGGATGTCGCTTTTCAAAGCACCTCAGCGAAGAGTGGTTGCTGAATAACGATTGGAGAACTTCGATTTCAAGAGCAGAGGAATACTTACAATCCTGTCTTACCATTCACCACAATAAACTGTCGGTCATGCATTTCCCCCGATACGGGGCCCATTTCATGGCAGTACATTGAAAATACCTGCAATGAAGAGTCTTTAGGTGGAATACTATCCCATTCTGATTAAGGATTTGAAAGGGCTTCAAAAGAAAACTAACACTTTTTCCTTTGAAAGACTTCACTGGATAAACATAGAGAGCGCTCACGGTTCCAATCGGAATCAATGGTGAACGACATTCGCGAACATAATTCACCAGGTAGCGAACTCCCTGAAAAATTTCCCTAGTATAGTACTCACTGGGTTGAAATCAAATCCATGTGGTAAAGCAAGGTTAGTAAGCCTTGAGGCTTGACTGGATTGACCGGAACTTAGAACTGGAAACGGATGGTCTGCGACCTTTAGCTCACGTTGTCGACAAGATCTCAACTTCGACCTTTGAGCTTCCCAAACAGGACACGTCCTGTCGTTGGGGAAGGTTTTGCGAAAAATATCCCCTTCTGAATTTCCCCCTACGCTGCAATCCTCCCCATC